TTTTTTTCTTTTTTACTAACAATATCAACAAAAACAACAACAATAGCAACAACAACGACAATAATAGCATATGCTCGCCCATTTATCGTTAGCATTATGGTCATGAAAATGGTCTACGTCCAGGCTTCTTTTCTTTTTTTTATTTATTTATGCTGCCTTATGACATTGTTGCAGTTGTTACATCTCTTTGTCGGCTCTGCGTCTACTCTTCTTCTATATAACGTCAGAGTGTATCGTTTGACATTTGATGTTGATATTAATGTTGATGCTCTTTATATTCTTCGGTTGCATATGTTGTCCGTTGACAGTTTGAAAAGTTGATTGTCTCGTCTAAAGTTTATGTGCGTAAAATTTTTATTTACACACAAGCGAATTAAACGAACAAACATAGCAGCAAATTATATATAATTTAAAGTTTCCTTCAATATAAAGAAGATCGAATAAGACTAATAACATCACTTCTTAGGCAACATTGTTTATATACATTTCACAATTGAATTAATTTTCCATTTTATAACTCATTTATGCTGTTAAGATGTTATTGATAATTCACGATGGTTCGTGGTGCTGGCATGATGATTATGATGATATTATTGATGATGATGATAATACTAATGATGATGATGATGATGATGATGTTCTGCTAATGTTGATGAATCATTTATAATCGTTACTAATGAATCATTCCAATAATGATGTTGAGCTTTTTTTATTTTTTAAACAAAAGTCATTATTATCATTAAACTTGGGTTGTATGCATTTTTTTTTTTTTTTTTTTTTTTGCTTTTCATCTATTGATATATGTTTTTATGGCCTACCTGGTATCGTTATTGTGTTGAATAGTATTATAAACGGAAATAATACTAAATTTATTTGATATCAAATCATTTAACTGGTTTAGTTGGTTAAACATTGCTCAAATTTATATTTGTCGTAAAGCTGTTAATTATTTATTGTTTCCTCTACTTGACCTTGGCTTATGTAAAACTGATGACACAACTAATATATAAGATCGACTTTAACAAACTAAATAAAGATCGCCTCTTGTGTATCCATGTGTATTTAAATTTAATACACCAATAAATTTAGTCTCATAATAAATGGCGGAAGGGTTCTCAAGAATTTCTTGGAATATTTTTTCGCCTATTGAGGCACGAGATTGTATCTGACTTCCATGTAATATATATTTTGATGATACTTTGTAGTTCGAATGTGAGAATATAAGAAAAACGCTTCTTATTCTGTAGCTGTTCATAACAGAGGTAAAATATTTATACCCACGGCCGAAGAGCAGGGGTGTACTCATTTTGTCAGAACGTCTGCAACATCCAGAATCGCCTCAAAGTATGTATCGCCTTGATTAGCAGCAAGTTCTAAATCGATTTGCGTAAGTCCGTCCGTGTGTCCGTCTGCGTAATGTCTTCTCCTGCGGCTTCAATTTTTGAAGAAACATTTGAATTTCTTGCACGCAGGTTAATATTGAAAACCAAATAGATTAGTCAGTGCCTAAGCCCAAAATAAGGCGTAAACTGAACGAAATTCCGGTTCTCTAAACAAACATTTATGGGTTTTTGCGCATTACTCATAAATTTACTTGATGAAAGGCCCTGCTATCCATATCTAAAAATGGGAAAAATCAGTCACGCCCATGTAAAGTTTTAAATGATACATAGTAAATAAAACACAATGTTGAAAATTACTCTGTACGTTCCTCATTTGAAGATATATTATCTGAGTATCCGCCTGAGTGGCCGAGTAGGCAAGAGTCTCGACTAGCAACTCAATGGTCGCTCACGTGCGCTTTGATGTTTCTGGATCCGATAGCCTCTATCAGTTATGCTTGTGATAGCTTCACATGGCCCTTCCCAGTTAGATTGCAAATTTTCTGACAATCTGTCACTACACGATCGATTATACAGCTAGACTAGGTCTCATGCACCAAGTAGAATTTCCGTTTAATCACTTGCACAATTTTTCTGACGCTAAATTGCTGTCCGTTTGGTCCTCTGTGGTGTTTTTTATGATATCTTTCGGGCTTGACTTTTGCGCCCACCAAAATTTCTGGTGCGTTAAACACAAATATTCGCCTTCGAAAATACGTCTTTCCCACTGAGCCCGGTACGCTTTTGCTGAGCGATTTTCCTTATCGATTTGCTTCTTGGCTTCCTTTTTATCAACTACTATTGCCTTGAGATCGTCATCGGCCAGTTGCGCGTTTCCTCTGCCTTCTTTCGCTAACTTTATATTAGTCTCTACTATAATCGGGCAAACAACATTTTCTATAACTTTCTGCTTCTCAGGCATACGTTCTTCAGCATCTTTTCGGCATTCTGAAATCCGTAAGGATATGTCTCGATTGTTCTGCCTTGTAGAACGCATATAGGAAAGGATCTTCTCCCTCCTTCCTCAGTTGCTGCCATTCTTTCTTCTAAGAAAATCTTTTAAGATATAAAACTAGGAAGCGATTAAAAGCTAATCATAGTTATTCTAAAACTTTTAGAAGGAATTTCCCAAAATTTTGGGCTAAGCCTTTTTTTTCGCCAGATATTCTGCTAATTCTTGTTAATACTTTCGGCAATCGTCCGCTGCACGAGACGGGTAAACCGCTATGACTATGTATCTGCCTTTCCCATTGTTTGGAATTTGGTTTCACCGAAAATCGTCCAGCTTTCCCAGAATATATGTCAAATATGACATTTTCGTAACAATATGTTTAATATGCCTGATGTTATTTTCATCAAACGTTAATGATAAATGTTCGGCAAATAATCCAATAAGATTGACAGTCGAAAGATTACTTCCCGCTTTTTTCAAAATTAGTCTTTTTTTCTTTTCATTATTGCCATAGTAAATGCAATTATAAAGAAGTATAAGTTCATCGCTGCGGTCAAGGGCGAGAGGAGGTTAAAAAAATTTCTTGTGAAATTTGGCAACAACAATTTCGCAACAACGTATAAATTTCTCATTATATGGAAATCACTCTTTTTTCACACTTTCATTGCGCTATAAAAGAAAATGTCTTCGCTAGGCTTTAAAGGCAATACTGCTTAAAAAATTCGTTTAAGATATAAAACTGGCAAACGATTTAATGCTAATCATAATTACCGTGAATCAATGAACTTCATAAAACTGATTACATAAAATGAAAAACTACAATCTTCAGGCTCTATACCATATATCTTAATAATCGGACACGATTTGTTTTATTGCTCATTAACTGTTTTTTGTGTTTTTTTTTCTCTCTCTCTCTCTCTCTCTCTATCTCATTTTAAAATTATATTAAAGTAGTAGAAGAAACACAACAACAAAGTTAAAGTTCATATAGTTAAAATTGATGAACATACATGGCTTCTATGAAAACCAGGGAAATACTTTCTTGCATATATATATATAAAAAATATGTAAAAAATTTTAATGATTTTTCTTACATTGTGAAAGTACTTTATTTTATTTAATTTTTTTTTTTTAAGTGAGACTTTTTCGTAAATTTTTTTATATTTTTTTAATTGTTAGTTTCTATAAAAGAAAGCGAAACTTTTCTTTGAATAAAGAAAATATTAAAATTTAATTTTTGGTTTGTTCAAATTAACAAAGAAAGAAAAGTGCAACGAAATTCACCACTATGTTTAATTCGTACCGTTGAGGAGACTATCAAGTGTGTGAAAAATTATGATTCATGAGAAAAAATGAAAACAATTAGCTGCAGTATGAGTACATGCAACGGTAAGTAAAGTTAAACGCATTTTTGTTGCAAGAAATTTTTTAATTAAAACAACTTAAAAAGTCATATCAGTCTTAGGGCGAATCTTGTGTACCCATCGTCGCGCATGAACGCTATGAGTACATAGTCAGGGGAAAGTTTTGATACCCTACGCAACTTGTGGTATAAGAGTATATTAGAGTTTGTGTGATTGAACGCAACACCTAGAAGAACATGAGCTAGACCTACTTTTTATTATACCGACCGATTTAGAAAGCGTTTCTACTGCTTCTCAATTTCTTTGTCCATCCGTCCATTTTGTTTTCCTATGTTCGGATATTTTTGAGAAATTTTGCTGAAACTCGATACACTGACATTAACGAATGCTATCGAAAATGATTCGGATCGCTGCCCTATCACTTCCCATAAAACGCCTTTCTTGGAAGCCTTGCTATTGGAATAATTGTTTGGCTGTGTACAGTATTTAAAGTTTTTATTAAAGGAGACACAGCAGAGCCAAATAGTTAAAAAGTCAGCACACAGGAGTTCTACAGAAGTCACTGTCGACAAAGTCTTAACACGTATCGATCGATCGCATACTACAACTCATAGCTTGCGGCTATTTCGTGTCTCTCTCCCAATTTCTTCCTGGTCATTAACGTAGTAGGCATAAAGAGGGCTAATCTCCCCGGCTAATTGATCATATAGGTAATAAAATAGAGTCAAAATCTTTGTACACTGAACTTGCTAAATGTTCGTGACTAATATAGTCAACTGATCCCGCTGCCAGTGGCACTGATTTTATTCGCCAAATGCAAACATACTTTACAGGACCTCTTAGCAAAGTTGCACCTTTCGTTGACGGATGCAAGAATAATGCTGAAAGGCTTCGGTCCAAAATAACTATGCTTTTTTATTTATATAAATATATCTTTGTCCGGATGTATTTTATACTTTTTGGCATTGCGCTGATCGGTAGGAATTGGGTAGAGCGGAAGGGAAAAGAAAGGCGCTTTAAGGCTGTCGATAACGAGTAAACTCAATGACGAATCGTTTCAGCGAATCGATAGTTGACAGCTGTCAGCAGTTTAATCGATATGGACAGCTATACATAGGCCTCAGTATTTGTGTACGTCCAACTTGAAAATGTATCTAACTTTTTCGAATTCTAACTCGAATAGAAGGGAAACTTCAAGTAACAATTCGTTTAATGATATTTTATTAATAAATAATTAAAGATTTATTTTTAGTTATTTATTTGTTTTTGATTTTCTTATAAAAAATAAAATTTTCTAAATACCTTTGAGTTACTGCGTAGATAGGTTAATTTTTATTTATATCATTTCCTCGTCCATAAGAAATCTGTAATTAAATATAAAAAATAAAAAAATGTATTTAATTTAATTCAAATTTTGTACACGTTTACTTTTGTTTGCAATTTATTGCGTTTATAATGACATCAAAAAAAAAAAAAAAAAAAAAAAACTTAAAAAAAATTTAAAATAAATTAAAATGCGCTCGCTTGACAGTCTCCATTTCTATCTATCTGCTTTTATGTAAGTGGAATAATAAAAACAAATTTTTTTTTTTTGCATATGTACACATGCATGTTTGTTGCGCATATGTGTGTAGTAACTATAATTGGAAGGGAAGGTCATTGCTTATCGTTCCTTAATGTTTATTTATTGTCATATTCGAGCTTTTCTAGCTCAAGAAGGCAATTAATATATTTATTAATTTTTTTCAAAAATAAGCGCGAAAATAAAGATAACAATTGCAGTTAATTCCTTATGTTTTTCGTCTTCTTCTTATTATTTTTTGTTTTTTTTTTTTTGTTTTTTAAATTCAAATATGAAAGTTCAACAGGAAATAAGAAAACTACGACAACAAAATCATAAAAATGTAATAAATAAAAAATGAAATCGTCAGTTTTATGCGATTATTCAATGTTTTACAAATAATTAACAATCAAATGAATGAAGTTTGTATACTAAACAAGTAAAAATAGTAAGGTCTCGTATTAAATACCCTACACTACCCTAAAATCATTCTTATGATGATTTATCAAAATTTGGCTTTATATAGGGAAGTGTTCGAAAAATTGGTCCGATCAGCGTTCTCCTCATTCTCAACAGCGTTCGCCCTTGGACCACAACATGCCAGTATACAATATTGCGATCTGTAGCTTGAATGCACATGAAAATAAGAGCAACAGACGGAGGCAAAGGGATTCTAATTCGATCGGCATAACAAAAAAAAACGGGTCTATTTCGGGTCTTGCTGGGTGTTCCATACATTTGTATGTATGTCCTTATACCACAAGCAGCGTACGGCACAATAACATTTACATTAATTTACAGCAATAGTAACGTCATAAATATTAAGTTTATGGATAACTAGGGAATATCTAACGGTAAAAAAAGAGAAAAGAAACACGACGTCTGGCAATAATATTTTAATCGCAAGTTGAAAATTCTGATAGCTTTTGCATGATTTTTTTTCTTTTAATAAACTATTGATATTTTCCTTATTATTAAAAAAAAAACTTTTATCGTTCGCCGTAAACGAGTTGCACTTTCTTTACAAACTCCGCTACATCGTCCTTACTGCAAGCCCAAAATAATTACTGCCGTGCAGTCAGCCCACTGTGCTGTATCAATTTTTTTGGTCTTTGTTAAGAGTTGAGCTATCTTCACACTTGCTTCGCACATCTGCTAAGGTAATTAATTGATCATTGATGTTATAAAAATGTTTAAAAAAGATATATTCTCACCGTTTATCATAGAGTGAGTGTATATCCACAATTGAAGAAGATTTGCGAAATAAGAAATGTGTTATGTAACCTATTTGCAAATCTAGCTGCAGATTTTTGATATGTTTTAAAGGACGTCAAAACCTATCGCAAATCCCCAACTTCATTACTATTTTCTTTGGAGTAAAGTGTAGGAGAACCAACCATAAAACTATTTTAGCGCCCTACGCATGTATTTGGGAGTGTGTAGGCGAATGATAAATTCTCGACATAATAATGAAAGTGGGTGTTCCTGATAGATTTTAGAGTCCTTTAAAACATATCAGAAATCTGGCGGTGTTTAAATTCGATAAATTTTTTTTTTTTTTTAATAGGTTGAAGGGAAAGTTCTGTCGTATTTTATTCATGTACTTTGCTTTAACACAAACCCAAGAGATTTAATGTGATATCCAGCAGTTGTATGATGAATGCCTAACTTCTCTGTCATCTCTCGATTTGCTAAATGTGGATTATTTCCAAACATGGATCGCAAAACATCAATATCTCGATCACTTTCTTGGAGGCTCAGATCCCCGGAACGAAATTTGCTAAACCATCTTCGACAAGTACGAACATTTACAATATCTTTTTCAAATATCGTACATAAATTTTTATATGCAACCGATGCGTTGCTTCCTTTTTGGAATTCATACAAAATGCAGTGTCATAAATGCACTTTATCTACTGACATGTTTTTCACTTTGAATATCACAAGTGCATGATGAACGGTAAAAAAAAGTCTCCTTTTATATTATACACCAGCTGAAAAAAACAAAAAAAAATCGGAATGACTCACGAGCCAGATATTGTTTTATTTACAAGAAAAATTACCCGCCTATTTAAAAATACGGCAGAACTTTCCCTCCAACCTAATATTTAGCTCAGTGTCTCCTATATATGGGGGGAGCATATTTGCGGAGATTTTTGCCTTGATAAAAAATGTAATTGCTTATGATATTACGTTCTTCAGATATGTTTCATCATTTTGGAAGATGTATCAAAAATCGGAAGTTGCGTAATGTCTTTGAAAAATATTATACCTCGATTCGCACTTTGCATTCTTTCAGCATTTGGACTGTAACTATGAAAGATCGTTAGTAGCGTTAACTTAATTTTAAAATATATGGATTATCTACACCTCGGTAATTAATGAGAAATTCTATATTTATCTTTGATGGGTTAAAATGAAGTTACCCTGAAGAAATGGATAGACATCTCCGATAACGATTCAGTTTCTGGCAAGGGACGAATTAAGCATTCCATTACATTGTAATAAAGTTGGGTGTAGTATGATGTGTTTAGATTATCTGTTTAGGCCCTAAGCTGCTCGGCTGCAGTACGCCAAGTCTTTCCGTCTTTTATAATGCCAAAGTGTCTCGGCATAAGACGGTCACTAATCTTAATGGTTCAGGCAGATTGAATGCCTAGTGCTATTAGCGAGTAAAACGCTTGGTTGAGTTGCTTTATGAGAACTGATTTTCCTGATTTTCTTAGGCACTATTTATACTACATTTTTACACTAAACTATTCTTATCTTATTCTAAACAGGATTATAATTGCTTACTAAATTATCCTTATCACACACTAGATTATTCTTATATAAACAGAATTATCACTGTTTACATGCGAAGTGAAGTATGACATTTTATTTTATCAAAAGGGTTATGCTGAAGTGGCATAATTTTGTCACACTTCAAGTGGATGCATACGATAGTATGCGATCACACTACAACATCCTATATGAACGCGGAATCATCTGGAAGTTCGGCCACCATATGTTCGACAAACACGCCATAACGCCGAACGCAGTATGATGCTTCGAGCCAAAGAAGTTGAGGCGATTCGTAAAAATTTTTTAAGATAGAGAGCTAGGAGCATGGACTGCGCACCAAACAATACAAGTTACTAAAAATTTATTATAATTTTACTTACAATGGAATTCTTTTGTACTATTACCTTCAGGATATATATAGCATTTAATTTATATTTGGCGCTTGTTGTAACAATTAAATTAAAATTAAAGGTATGCTAGATTTGTTAATTAGTCCTTAAAGAACAACTTAACAAATCTTAGAAGTCAAAGAGTTAGTGAGTTAAATTTGCGAACGATTTCATCCTCGAACGACTCGTCCGCGAGTGAACGAAACCACTTAGGTTTTACTTATTTGTAAGTATTCGGCGTAGATTACGTTTATAGCTGATAAGTTAGAAAGCAACATCGTGGAATTAGTTGGATTGTTGCTTTCGAAATATCTCAGTCCATTTAGTTAAAATATGATCATTTTGGTAATTGGGAACGCCAACTTGTCAAAAGTAAAGTTAGCGGGAAACAGCTTGCTTGAGCCGTAACGTAAAGACAACATGGTAAGAGATCTAATCTGCTTATATCGCTGTAAACTTGAAGATTATGGCAACCAACTTAATTGGAAGAACGTCTCTTTGAGATAAGCTAATCAACTAACGTATGCGTTCGGTTAAATGGAGTCCACCATTCGTGGTTTTAATAGTTATGAATGAAATTGAATTGATTTAAAGGATTCAATTCGCTAGTTGAGAAACCTTTTAGATTATTGTAAAGGAAAAATATAATCTGATTAGAAATTGAAACTAGAAAAATTAGACGGGACAGTATTCTATAAGAAAAGTTGAATTTATTTTGTTGCACACAGGTACAGGAAATCCGCTTAGCATATTGTAACGTGCAATATATTGGTGAACTGGAAGAAAATCTCTTCCTTGATAACTCAAAGAGAAACCCATTTTGTAACATATATAAATGAAGATGCGTTTAGGAAGTGTTGGAAAAACTGTAGCTTAATACTACGGAGAGGGAATTTTTGCTGGATGAATTGTTGCAATCTTTTCTTATTAGGATTAGCCAAGGTTCTCCGAGCAGTTAACTCCGAGCTTCCTCCTTCCTTTACAATTATTGAGCAGATATAACAATATTCTTATTTTCCGAGATAAGGTAAATTCAAGTTCCTTTCGGTTTACAAATAATTATAATATAGAGAATGAACGATAGTTCCGCTAAGGACTTATGCTGACTGATCCAGAACTCTTGGAGAACTCGAAATCACAAACTCGCTAAAATCTTAGTTAAGCAAAAAAAAAAAAAAAAAAAAAAAAAAAACGGAAGATGTTTGTGTTTAAAAATGGAATTAATCGGTTGTTCTCAATAAAATTAATCATCGATTGAAAATGAACGAAACTTACGACACGAGATAGCACTTAGTTGTGTGATTAAATTCAATTCAAATAATCATGTAAGAAAACTTCGTTGTAAAAATAAAAAAAGTTGTCCCGCTGTCCAGACAGCAAACATCCTTAGTCTTGGATAGTAGCAAGTATTTATTGAACATAATTTTTCTTTTTTAATAATTTTATTTTTTCTTTTAATTTTTGTTTCGTTTCTTAAATTTCTTAAAATAAATTTAGGTTAACGAAAGGCTCATATATAAGCTGCTTTTACTTAAAGCATAAAAAAAGGGTGTCGCTGTAGCCAATCGATTTATCTTTCACTTACACTGCAGACACATAATATCCAAATGAATTCTTAAGAAATTTAAGC